TCAACATGGAGCCAAACGCTGTCAAATTACTGTGCTGTGTATACACTGGAATTATGCTTTTCTTTGCAGCAAAGCCAATTTAAATCACTCCTGCCTTCCTCCACTCCCCCAGGTTCCTTCTTTCACACTTTCAACCATTTCATTACCCAGTTTAAAAAGCTGGGACCCACATGCTGCTGAATCGGCACAACCAAAAGGCAACAACTATGAGTAAGGGCACAAACTTTTAGTAGCTTTCTTGACAGAAAAATCTACTGGGGAATCTTTTCCTAAATGAAAAAGTGAAAATGCAGAGGACATTTCAGAAGACAAAAAAGCTTTGGCAGTCCTCTATTTAACTGCAAAAAACATCATTATGAAGAACACTACCATGAAGCAAATTTTATGTTCTAAAATTACTTAAAGTACACTACTCAATCAAAGTAAAACACTAGAAGTAAATGCTAGAATAATTCAAGTGGGGAACATTAAATACATCATCTGAGAATAGTATTAACTCAAAAAATAGTCTTAAATTATGTATTAGACATGATAGCTTGGTTTTCCATAGAGACTTATAAATGCAAATCCTTCCAGGAGGTTAAATAAAAAGTATTTTGATTTCTAAAACACATCACTGACTTTTAGAAATTTTACAACAAATCTACTCCCCCTTAACCTGTAGTTTCACAGAATCAGTCACTTCATCCTCTCAGAAACAAGTCCTTTTGAAGCCAGGTACTGCCACCAAGTGGTGGTGAAATTCTGTATGCAAATCTCATTACTCCCCACTTGTAGAGAACACAGAACTGAAAACAGACCCCTGGCCACCAAGTGTGCGCAAAAGTGTGCTAAGATATCTAAAATTCATCAACCCAAGCAAAACCTGCAGAATTTTCATATCCAAATATAAAACTGACTTTCAGTTTAAAACAAATTTTTTTCCTGCAATTCAGTCTTTTTGTTCAGACACCTTTTGTGAGCAGTTGGGTAAAGAATCATTTCTTCCAATACAAATCCAATATATGTAGCAACAAACTGACTCTAATACCTAGCTGTTTTCCATAACTGTACAAATCCCCAGTGCTTGCAACTACAAGAACACAGAAGTCTTATTTTCACCACAGTTCCAAATTTCAGAGAAAGGTGAATTTCATAACTGAGCAAAAGACCTCTTAAGGTATAAACACCCAGCTTGTTATCTGGATAAGCTATTCAATGTGCTTTTGTTAGCATGTAAAGATCACAACCAGACTGGGAAGGGTTTTTACATCAGGTATATTTGACTATCTTTACAGGAGTATTTCTCAGTTCATCATATTGTTAATTACCTACATGAACTAGGCCTGAATTGTCAGTCCTCCAGACCACAGATGAAAACTCGCATGACAACAAAATGATGCTGCACAACGCATTCACAGTACAACTTTCTCAAAGATGACATTAAGAGCAGTTTAACCTGATTTTATTACGACAGGTCTTTGAACATGACACACACCTTTCAATTTTGGAAACATTCTGACCTTATTTCCTACTATAGTAAATAAAAGCTGTTATTATTTTTACCCAGCACAACTTGAAACATGTCTAGCAATTTCTCGTGCTTTTTGGCTGGTAACTATTTGCTGTACATATTTTAATAGCACAAATTTTAAGACTTCTTACCTCTTAAAGCATGCTGTATTTCCCAAATATAAAAAGACTATCTGAAATGAACACTCTGTTTTTACTCATTTAATTTAGAACCTTAGCGTAATGCATTACATTAGTGATACTCACACATCCTTACCAGCAAAGTGGCTTTCATACTCCTCTATATTCTTTCAGTGATCAAGGGTGAAGAAACTAATAAGACTGTAAGTAACAGTGCCAGGTAAGGCCAAAAGACCATCTTGTACCTTTTTACATTAAGAACAAATAATTCTGTCAACTTGGAGAAAGTTACCATCTTTACTGCCAAATGTATGAAATAAAGAGTTTTTAAAAGACCCTAAGCTATATAACTCTGTACATGATCAGATGAACAGAGGAAACTTGCAATACCATGTGACAAGATAATGTCATTCCCCTCAATTGGTTTTTGTTTGTTTTAAAAGTCATCATCGTAAGTGATTTAATGGCAAAAAACTCAACTTGATGTTACCAGATTAATATGAACAAGATGAAAATTGTTTGAGACCCATTGTATGAGCCAAAAAACCACAAACCCCACATACTCACATTTATCTTGTGCAGAATTCTGTATATAACTATACTTCTTCAGCATCTGTGGTACTATTATTAACATTACATCCTCTACTTTTAGGTAAAGCGATATTAAATACATTCAAGACAGTTTCTGGAAGCAAGCATTTTTGCCTGACGCCTCAAACACTTAAAATCTGACCTCACTCTACACATTGTGACAGGGAAATTCAGCACAAGCATCTACCTTCTGTCACCTTCTGGTTACACAGAAGTGTGACCCATTATTCTGTTAACACATTGAGACCAAGACTATTTTTCCCTTACTTTTCCCCGTATTTAAAACAAGACAGGTCCTTCTATGGAGTTTAGGAGATACAGCCTGGAAATTAGAAAATTTAAGAACAAAAACTATGATCATCCCAATAAAGTACATTCACTGTATATAGTACTTTACACCTGTGTGTTTTTAAATGGCAAGAGGTTATTAATATTATTTTTAATTTCCAAAAGCCAAGATATCTTACCTTTTGCATTTGTATTAGAGCAACAAGAACCCCAAATCCTTTATCAAAGAAAACCTACGTGGAAACCACACTATCAGTTATTAAGAAATGCATTCTGGTCAAGAGTACAAGAAAAATGTTTGAGCAAATCATTAAATCCCATTTTCAGCTATTGCTTTAAATAACACAAGCTTATACTAAAGGACAAGTTCGCATTGAGTTGTGTGAGTTCACTGTTTAGAAGACTAGAAGATGCTGCAACCACCACACGCATTAGTGGAGGCACGTAGGAAACGCGGGTTGTTCTTTAACATTGAGTCTTTCAGTGATCCTGGCTGCCCTTCTCTGAACGTTCTGTGCCATTTTTCAGTCCCAGGACTAGACTAGTACTCAACAAGCAATACGCATTGCAATGCAATGCATCTATGGTACACCACAGGTTTGTATAACCGGATCTGGTTTTTGTTTTGTTCTGGTTTTGGTTTTGTTCCCTGATAAATGCGTAATATTTTCATTGATTTACTGACTATTCAGCTGTCATTTTTACAGAACTGTCAGAACCCCAAGACCTCCTCCAAGCAATAACAACACTGATCAAATGTCATTACACTATTTCCATGTATTCTTTTACACATTTTTCTGTCCTCTTGTTATGTATGCAAGAGTAGAGGCTTTCTCCTCAGAGACCAGCTTTTCTCTATTATACACAGCTAACCACCATTAAAATGAAAGGTCTTTGGAGTTTTACTCAGATGATCTCATGCTTAAAGAACATACTCAGTTATTTATATAGACTTCTCAACTAATTTTCTGTATTTAAACCAGTAATGAGATAACACATACATTAAGATGAGACAGAACATAAATTGTAAGCATGAAGTCCTGAAAGCATTAAAAGGCGCAGGGAACAATCTAAATCATACTGTGAATACAAGTCCCTTCCCTAGCCACGATTCTTGTTTTGCATTCATCCTCAGATAAAGTATTTCCTTTTGCAGAGTTGTATTTACTCCTTTTCTCAAAGCAGCACATTCTAGAAACTTGCAAAGTCAAGCTAAGGCAGTAAACATCATCTACATCTGAGTATATGCACACTACAGCAGTACAGCTTACTTCTAATTGTTCATAGTTCAGAAGGCAATCCATAATCAAAAGCCCTGAATCAGTTGTACATTATACAAAGGAATAACACTGAACAAAGTGTTGTTTTAAATTCCCCACAAAGCGTTCTCCTATAATCAGTACTTCACAGTTCACAGCAGTAGCACTAAGGAAAGTCTTAGCAAAGCAGAAGACACAAACAAAGCAGGTCACATCTATTTTAAAATGCACATACTACATTTTGGAGGTTGGAACTAGATGATCCTAAGGACTTTTCTAACTCCTACCATTCTATGATTTTTAAAGCTTCATCTACAGCTAAAGAACAAGACCATCTGAGCAAACGGGATCAAACGGGATCTCACTCTCACATCTTCAAAATACCACATCACCACAAGAGCTGTATCTGAGATGGCATATTGGTGAAACAGCAAGCAAAAGCTGAGAAGCCAGCTTTTGTTTGATAGGGAAGCCTGTGTATGTGAGTTCATCATGCCCTGTCTCCACAGCAGAAAATTTACTGAACTGTGGGGACTTACCTAAAGACACTCTTCAAAGACTCAAGCTAAAACAGATTAAAGCAAATTGCTCTGTTACATTTCACATAATTTAATGGAGAAGAGATTAATATTATAGTTCAAAGTTTACCCGAAGTAGAATATCAAGTAACATGAAGAGAAACAAAATGTGGGCTTAACTAAGTTTTTTTCTCCTCAGAATAATGGAGGGTGGGAAAAATGCCAAAGTTACAGAACAATTTTCCGAGACTGACACTTTGCAATTGCAAGTAGACACTTAAGTTCTACAGCTCATGAGTACCAGCAGTACGTGAATCTTCACAGACTTTTGTCTTTCAAATAGCACCCGAAAGGGTCCCTGAGGAAAGGGGAAAAAAAAACAAACCCAAACCCAAGAGAATTCCATTATTAAAACTTGGAAATGCTATTCTGGTAGCTGGTCAAGTTTCCCACAGAGTTATTAACTGAGTAAGTGAAGGTTAACACCCTGCTTTGTCAATGCAAAGTACACTTTTAGTACTTTGAAACCAGGTGGATAATATGGAGAGGATGAAATTAATTTGAAGTACTCATAATTTTGGTTCTCAATAGCTAGCAGAATGCCTTGACAGCTTTTTGAGTGTCTAGCAGTATATGCTAATGGACCCAAGGAACTGAGGGGGGGGAAGAACACCCCCCCCAAAAAAGCAGCACCGACAAAACTTCTACTCACCTTTGTGTGATTTACATGAAGCTGTGAGATCCACTTCTGCATTAAAACAAACCTGCAAAACAAAACAAGAACTTACTGCACAAATGTCAGTGTTTTCTGCTCATGTTCTAGACTATCAGGCAAGACAGACAAAGCACAGTGATAAGAAATTCACAGCTACACAAGTATTCCATCAGTTTTGTCTCAGGGCAGAAATACCAAAATTCCAGTGGCCTTCACCCAAGTACACATGTAATCTTCAAATAACACAGATGTTAGTACTTTAATTAAAGATCCACCAAGAAATCCTGTCAAATACACACACGCTATTAAACTAAGAGGGCAGAACAGGGGACAAAGAGTTGCAGGCAAGAAAAGCTCTACTGCATTTTCTGCTAGTGCCTTCAAGTTCCCTGGATGAGGAATGAAGCACAGAAAGGAAATGGTTACAAACTTATTTTAAATCTGTTAAGCAAAAATGATGACTGTATCCAAGATTGAATGTTGGACAGTTTTAAGCCTGGGCCTCACTACTTCCTTGCCTTTCCTAGGACAAAACTGTGCTTATTGTTTTAAGGCTAGCTGGGCCATTTAAAAAACATAACTTACGTTGCCTTCATGAAAAATGATTAAGATTAAATGCTCTAATCTCAGTTTTGCTCATGCATCTTTAACAGAACTAACTATAAAGGAAGTATTTCACTTCCTAGTTGACTATGTAACATTTGGAAGAGACTCCAAAAGTCACTGAAGCCACACAAAACCAAGAATGGATTTGGGTACAGCATCTCTACAGAACTGAGTCTACTTCTAATGAAGAAACAACAACCAGCATAAAGCTTTACAGGGAGGGTTATTTGTATCTAAACCAATGTATCACCAAAAGTAGCTCTGAAAGAGATACCCATCTTCAAATACTGCTTAAGATTCCTTCCTTCAGTTTGATCACACATAGCTTTTTGATTCCAAGTTCCCCAGTCAGCCTCTAACTGTGTCAAAGCCACCTGCCCAAATTACAAAGAGAGTAAGAAAAGACAGACCTTTCAAAGAAGTCTTGTTGGGCAATACAAAGCAAGAAAAGACAAGTCTCCAAGCTCCTTTTCCCTAGCCCCAGGATCATTTCCTAATTATCACATAAACCTGTAGCTTTTATGCATTACTGTTATTCAAAATACATGCTCATTTCTCAAGTAAGATGTACTACAGAAAAATGTCAAAAATTCTTAAGTCGGGTTTGAGAGTAACAGTCGTGCCTGGAGAAGCAAAAGTGTTATTTGCAAACAGCAATGGAGCCCTGCTGTGCGTTTCAGAAGGTAAATGTAAAGCTACAGTTAAAAATGCCCACAAAATACCATGTATGTTTCAAGAGCCAAAACACCTTTCAAGAAATGGGAACCAAAGTCTTTACAGGCTTTACATTATCAAACACTAAGATCAGCACTAAAGCACACACCTCAGTAAACCCGTGTGTGCACTTTGCCTGGGCAGAGTCAATCTTAGTCAAACACTTCTCTCACTGCAAGCAAGAACGACATCAATGTCTGCCCCCCTGCAAAATGATCTCACACTACCACTGTAGCAATTCTCACATCTTCTGAACATTGCAATTAGCTGAACATCAGCAGTAACTATTCTCAACACAGATTTCATGGTTTGTGATTCAAGTGCAGATAGAATCTTTGCATCAAAGGATTGAGCCCAGACAGCTATAGATCAGTGTGGTAATACACTTACTCACTGTAACAGCTTTTTCATGCAAACACATTAATTTGGAGCAATCAATTACTCTGTTGACATAAAATGAGAAGTCTTACCCTACACTGCCTACCTGGACGATATGTACTATACTCCTGTACTCACTGAATGTGCTCTTTGGAGCAAAATTAAATGCAAGTACCCTTCTTTGGTTCATAGGGAGCTCACAGACCACTTTGGGACTAAATCTGGGGTTACTCTACATGTATATCTGGCGCAGAGGGAAAGTGAAGGGAAGAGAGATGTGCTATCATAATTTGGATATTGCTCAGCTGAAGGAAAGGTGACACAAGTCTCACCAATAAGATGATCAGCAAGAGAACTGCTGAAGGACTAAAGGGCTAGCCACTGCAGCCCTCTGTTACAGTCTTCAAAGGGCCCTGAAGAATTAACTCCCCTTTTTGGGATTTCAAACCCACTGGTGCTGAAAGCTTCATCTCATGGGTGACAGGTCATGCCATGGCATGCAAATATCTTCAATAAGTCAATGCAATCCACATCAAGACACCAGATTTTAGCCAAAACTACTCACAGCATTGAGACTCTCACTGTTTAAAGCAATCCAACCTACAGTACTTAACTAACGCTCACCTCTCAAAGGTTTTTCTGCTGTCAGAGAAGATTCCTCTCGTGCCAGTACAATCAGACTCTAACACCTACTATTCATTTCAAGGGTGTTGACATTCGGAATAACCGAGCACCTGAAATTCTTTACCATCAGATCCAGGAGAGATAGTTCTCCAAAACTCCTTAGGGAAAGGCAAAGATTTCAAAATCACAAATGCTTTGGCTCTGATTTTCCTTTCTTAATTCTCATTATTGGGAAAGGAAGTGAGAATGAAAGCCACTCTCCCTCACCAGTAATAAAGACAGCATCAAGAGACTCAGAAGCAGGTAAGAAACGTTGCTACACAGCATTCACCTTGATGCTTTGCAACTCAAAAGGAGCCCACAGCAGGTACAAGGACTGCTGTGCAATGGTGAGGCTTCTGATCACAGATAAGCAGCTGCCTGTTCTGATAAGGGCAGAGAACAGGAAGTGAAAGAAAACTGCAGTGATGGAGATGGGAGATATCTCAAGTGTACACCCAGTGGTACTACAGAAACACAGACGGACTGAAAAGTGCTTAAAGAAGCACAAGCATTTCTCAGTAATCAGTAAATGTGAAACAAGACTGGTTCAGTGCTAACTATGATCACCTTGCCCAGTGATGAAAGAAAAGCAGCATATCAATAATACTTATTTTCATGCAACACATGTAAGAGGCCAAAGTAGGCACAAGAAGTTCTCCAGTCTATGTGCAATGAGAAAGTCACATTGGTGGGGACTGCTCAAAGACAGAGCAATCCCTCTGAGCTACACAGACACAAAGAGAATCTCAAAAAGCATTTGAGGAGTCATTTAAAGGCTGTATACACAGGCTGTAAAATAATTGTTACAGCTAATAAAGCAGAGTTTTTAATTTTTCTGTCTAGCTAGAGAACAGCCACAAAAGCTTCCATGATGCTGCTTTCCCAAGTAAGCAACAGTTACAGTTGCTACTTACAAATCCAGGTTCATAAAGAACAAGTAAGATAATTACTCTCACATCAGCAAAGATAGCGGAAAAGATTTTATACTTGTCTTGCAGTGGGCTCAGAACTATTCACAAGGTTATATAAAGACAATTAATTTGAGTTCAAATGTGAGTTACTACACAAAACTTGCCTAACTACTCCTCTTGTCATTAGAATTGGATCTTATGTCAACACCAAGTTTACTTTTATTCACTTTTATTTACGTTCTTAGAGCTCTATTTGCTATAGTGAAATACTTCCTATAGCATGTCCCTCTCTGGGGCAAACATCTGAGAAACACTAGAATGCAAAGGTGTACAATGAGTAAATAAGATCTGAAGTAATCCCAACAGGAGTTTTGATACATTTATCTACCATTTAGCCTTTATTTCCTAACAGATCTGTGATAACCAACATGTCTACATGTATTTGGGAATCAACACTTCACCATCTTTAACCACCGCCTTCTCCTGGAATGGTTGAGTCAGGAATGTAATTCATAGAGAAGTTTTTTGGTGTGGTTGGGTGCTTTTGAAGAGAGTTAAAATGTATACAAAAGTAGCTTTTGACCCTATATATGATTATGCTTGTGGGAGAAGGAAGGAAGAAGAAGAAACAAAGGGTAGCATAAACTATACTATACAAACTACTTTTGTTGGTATAAGCTGTGGCTAAACAGTGCATTTCACCAGCTTAACATAAAAACCCAGCAAAAGGCTTGTAACTGTTGTCTTGATTTTCAAGTACTTCCTAAGAGCTACAGAATTTGATTAGCTGGTTGTGAGCAGCATTTACATTTATTAGGATACTGCCATCCCAGCATTAAAATCTGCTAAATTCAAAATTAGGGGTGAGGTGGGGAATGGGATGATTTCATTCTAACATCTGATGCAGCCTTGGAAAATGTCCATGATCTTACAGAAATCTAATAATCCTAAGAATCAATGCAGGAAAAATCAGCCAGCAGAAAGCAGAGATTACTCGAAGAAAAGGCTATTACAAGAAACCCAGAAGAAGCTCCAGCTAAAATCGTACACACAACTACCAAGGATATAATCACTTCAGAAAAGGACTGAAAAAGCAAAAGCTCAGCTGACAATAGTCTCCTAAATCAGTTAATAAAGCTGAAAAGCTCTTTAAATACAAGATATACTGCCATTTGCTCAACAAGTAGTCAGCAATGACCTCATCTGTACAAAATGTAGTTTCCTTCTTTCTGTTTGCAGAAGCTTTGATGCACTTTGATTTCTATTAAAAGGTATAAAAATAACTTCATCTACATTCAGTACCCACAAATATCTAGAACTAACATTCAGTGTAGATCCATTTAAATCATCACTCAAATGTAAACATGAGGTTTTCTAATATCACAAAATTAACTCCCTTTGAGGATTTGTAGAAGTTCTCTCCATTTACACTATTCCAACTTTAGCTTAACCAACTGAGTTATAAACACCACAAGGAAATTTACCCAAATTAAATTTGCAACGGAAAAAATAAGAACACTTCATAATATGAAGAGATAAAATTTAAGTCCTTTTACTGGAGATGCTTCTGACTTCAAAGAATCTGCAGTGACTAAACAAAAGCAAGCAAGGGACTGCAAGAAAGCAGACTGCCTCCTGCATTTTGAATCTCCTGCCAGATTTCGAGAGTTATCTGAAATTAGTTCAAAGAAGTTACAGCTCTTCCTTTGTTGATTCATCACAGTAAAAGCCACATGCACAGTTCCCAAAGCTGTGGTAGGGCTTTTACGTGGAA